GTTAGGTGCAATGAATTTGGAAATGACTCTAATTACTGATGAAGCTCCCACAACCATTACTGATGAGGGCTCTGAAGGCTTGGTCGAGCTTGGCGTTGTACTCTAAAGAGTCCTTAAGGAACTCACATGACTGCTCAATAAGTACTGACTCCCACTACTGCTTGTACGGATACGACCACGTCTGTCCATAGTCCAAAGAATCATAGTATGGAGGTGGTTGGTTCAATTGGGCACATCGGGTTGCAGTCTCTTCTTCTTGAGCTAACCGGGATGTCGCATATTATAGATATGGTCGAGCTGGCTGGTGAATGCTTAGCAACACGTGCAGAACTAGCAGTAGACAGTCGAATATACTTTCCCCCATATTAGTTTGGTAGAAGTGGAAGTTTGTATAAGAGATTCCAACGGGGAAGACTCTGACTCTGAACAGGCGGGGCAAACGAGCCACGAGTGGGCTAAAGCATAAAAATCAAAACGCAGACGGAGATGGCAGAGGACGAGATGAAAGAGATCAAATGAAGAAGCCTTCTCACTAGACCCTAGTACTAGGACGGATCGGGGATCGACCATAGGGAGAGGAGAGCAAAGTGAGAAAACTCAACTAGGTACTTTGCATTTTTTTAACTAAAAAAGCGATATATTCGAGAAAGTCAACCTGGGTGTTCCCTCCGGGGAAGAGCTTTAAGAGGCTATTTAGAATCACTTCTCACCATCTGAAAACCCTAATCGAGCTTTTAGATGGGGAAAATGAATTTCTCCATATTTAGAACTGCTTCTCGCCGTCTTAAAATACTGATCGAGCTTTTAAATGGGGGAAAGTTGATATAGGGCTCCTGTTGGAAACTACGCTGAACACCAATGGAGATTTTAGTTGGGGGAAAGTTGATATAACGCTTGAGTTGGAAATTGGAATAAATAAAGGCGAAGAAGGAGAAAAAAACTATATAAAATTTCTCTTCCTCATCGCCGACTTACAATTCGTCGCCTTACAATTCAAAAAGAACGATTAGTAGATGTTAATGGTTAAATATGAAATACAACTGCATAATTATGGAGTAATTAACGTAATTAACATTTTTCTAAAGAGACATAGAGTATCTTTTCGCCTATGGTTAAATAGTATCTTTTGCACTCTTACGAGGTAATAAAAATATTTAGCAAATCTACAAATATTTTATTTTTAATTGCAAACATATGAGAATTTTATTATTCAACATAAATAAGTTTATTGTGATATTTCCTATAATTACAGAGAAAAACGCATCCAACTCTCTCTCTCTCACTCTCTCTCTCTCTATCATATATTATGAAAGCAAAAACCCTCCGCCGATGACTCTCACCCTCACCTTCTTCCTTCTCCTGCCTGCCTCTGCCTTCCGCGAAGAGGTCCAATTGATCCTTGTGTTCAAAAAGGCATCAAATCCGACCCTTCTGACCTTGTCTTCTCCTCCTGGGTGCCCCACGCCTCCGCCTCCGCTTGCTACGAAGACTTATACGGCGTCGTCTGCTACACCGCCGCCTCCGCCGTGGTTGTAGTCACTCTTGACTGCCTCGGCCTCACCTGTGAACTGAAATTTTGGTTCCCTGACAGAGTTTGTCCAAGGCGGCGTAAGGAGACGAAGGGCGATCGTGACTTGGGGCGTCCGAGGGGGATGGGGAAGGGCGATCCTTCATCTCCCTGCTCTCGATTATCATCTCCACCAGACGGTATATATGCTATATATATGTAGTATATTTTACTTTTTTTTGTGTTGTTTGTGTAGTTGCAGGTATATATACTGTATATTTTTCCTATTTATATTGTTTATATTTTTTTCCTATGCACACTATTAGAGTGAATATAGTTTGGTTTTTTCGTATGAAATATTTGAATTGAAAATCTGAAGAATCGACATGAGTCTAGGTATATATGTTGTATATTTTTGTATATATACTGTTTATATTTTGTATATTTTCTGGATATGTTGCGTTCTCCATCATCTTCTTGATCAGAAAATGGACGATGCTGCTTGTGTTTGACGCTGCTCGTGATGGACAACGTTGCTCGTGAATTTATAGTTCGTTTTTTCTTATTGATGAAAGAATACCATCAGTTACAGAATTCTTAGGATGGTAACTCTTTATTTTTTGTTTGACCGTTAAATTATAGTTATTCAAATAATTCTGTTAAGCTAGATATACTTACAAATAAGTTTTCACTTTTGTATTTACGCAATTCTCTTAAAATCCTTAACATGTAAATGTAAATTACCCTATTTTAAAAGAGGAAATTGCATGCTCTACAATTATGCTTAAAATATTTAACACTTTTGCACCCCCTTTTTTTTCTTATTTAAAATCACCTAAACCACATAAAAGATTTTCAATTATACCAAAAAACGTGATTGACCTAGCCTTCTCCTCTATTTAAGCAACCAAACATCAGCAGCCTCTGATGGATTTCTCCACTACCATAGTTCGTCAAAATGCATTCCAATTTCCTCTGAAAATTAGAAAAATATCCGGCGGCTCGAGAGCACCAAGAATCCCAGTCTTTTTTTCTTCTTTTTCCATGTCCACAATCTTTCTACCCTCCGCACTGTTACTCCAGCGCAAACTCTCCGCCAAACCGCCGACCGCCGCCATGGCCACATGCATCCACTCCTCAGGCACCGAAGCCCCTCCAGATAACAATCCGGCCGTCGACGGCTACATCCGGTTATTCCGCCCAAACCCGCCCGATTCCACCTCCATGCCGAAAAATTCCCTTTCCGATAACCCTGAAATCGAAAAGGGGGGCGGCGATTTGTGGGCGCAGATGATGGAGGAAGCCAGGTCGGACGTGGATCAGGAGTCGATCCTCTTCGGCTGCTACTAAAATTCCATCTTATTTTTGAGCTTTTGTGGGTGTTTAAGAAGTTGTAACCTTTGCACATATGCGTTGAAAAATTATATAATTCGAAGGTATATTTACAAAACCGAGTTGGGTATATGTTGGGTATATCCGAGTATATCCAAAGTAACTTTTCTCTGGTTATCTGTTTAATATCTCCTTTTTTTCTTGGGTTATTTGTTGGGTATATCCGAGTATATCCGAAGTAACTTTTCTCTAGTTATCTGGTGGGTATATCCGAGGTAACTTTTCTCTCTATCTGAATTATCTTTTCTCTTTCTATGCTATACACTTTTGTCACTGGCTTTCTGCACCTGTTACACATTTTTATTATTTTTGATGTATATTTTTTGGTGTATGTTAGTATATTTCTGCACCTGCGTGAATTATAATATTGCAACATACACTGAATATATAGTGTATGTTTGGAAGCACTTTTATAATGGACTTTTGACTATAAAAGTCCATTTCCAATATAAAAAGATGTTTGGTGTAAACAACAAAATGTACTTTTAAAAAAGTAACTCCTACAAAAAGTCCATTTCAAAGAAGTTTATATTGAAGACTTCTTGAGAAGTCACTTTTCAAAAAGTTCATCTTGAAATGGACTTATCAATAAGTGTTTCCAAACAAGCCCATAATAACATAAACTCAAAATATACTACACGATGGCTGCTTGAATTACAATGTACAAGTTGCGTGAATTAAGGAAGTAATAAATGAATCAGTTATTATTTTTCTTTTCCCTCTCTTAATCAGTTTTTTTTTTTT